TATTTAAGAACCGATTTAAAAAGTGCTACTTTTAAAATCAGTTATTTCATAACCGATTTTGTATGTAGTATACAAAATCGGTTCTTAAATAACCGATTTTAAAAGTATTGTCAGAAATCTTTTATATTCCCCTCCATTCTCATTCTCTTTAATCTTTCCCTACATTCCTTTTTTTAATCTCTAACGCTCTCATTTTCTAAAGTTTTCAATAAGGTAAATTTCGTTGTCGTTTTTGTTTTCATTTTCGTCTTCTCATGTTTTTCTTGTGTCTCTTTTCGTTTTCTCATGCTTTTCTCGTCTCTATTTTCGTTGTAGGTGCAATTTCGGTAAATTTTGAAGCTGGAACAGCCCGTTCTGCAAGGAGAATGGGCCATACTTCATGGAAAACGAGTCGTTCTCCCTGGAGAACGGGCCGTGCTGCAAGGAGAACGGGCCGTTCTCCCTGGAGAACGAGCCGTACTCCATGGAGAACGGGTCATTCTCCCTGGAGAATGGGCCGTGCTACAAGGAGAACAGGTCGTTCTCCCTGCAGAACGGGCCGTGCTGCAAGGAGAACATGTCGTTCTCCCTGCAGAACGGGTCGTTCTGCAAGGAGAACGCCCCCATTCTAAAAGTTAACTTTTAGGCCTTTTGAACAGACTAGAACAGCCCATTCCAGTTTTGGAACGACCCGTTCCAGTTTAATTTTTTTCCACGGCCAGACTTTTAAGATCGGTTATAAAACAACCAATCTTAAAAGTTAACTTTTAAAATCGGTTGTTTAACTGATTTTAAAAGTCTAACTTTTAAAATCGGCTCTTTCAAAATCGATTACGGAACCGATTTTAAAAGTTAAAAATAACTGATTTTAAAAGTCTTTTTTTCACTAGTGCAGACATGTTCACAAAGTCATTAGGAAAGGATAGATTTGAATCTCTACTCAGCAAGTTGGACATTGAAAATCTTCATGCACCAACTTGAGGGGGGTGTTGGTATGGATAAGGATTGTTAGTATAGATAAGTTACAACTAAGGATAGATATGATTTGATAAGACTTAACTTAGTTTGTTAAAGTTGTTATATCTATTCTAATAAGATTATATCAGAAATAGAAAATTAGGGAACTGTTTTAGATCAGTAATTTAGTCATTCAATATAAATGTATAAGCTGACCACATTGAATCAATGAAAAAATTAGATTGCATATTTTCTACATATACTTTATTTTCTAAATACACCTTTTTTTTTTAATGTCAAATTCTTAAAGTAAATTGTTAAGTATTAACGTGTGGTGTCAATTTTAGGACCACAAAATAAATTTAAGAAAACACTGTAGCATTAAAGTCAAATTTTGTCGAGTTTTTAAATCTAGGCGGAATTGTAGGGTTTGAAGGAAAAAAAAATAATAAGAATTCCACTTGAGATGTTTCCGGTAAACTAAATTATATAATTCGTCGGTTTATTAAACTAAAGCTCAATGGTGTTAGCTTTAGTAAATGTGACTAATGCTCATTGTTTTTTTTGAACAGCAAAGAAATAACTTATATAATGAAATGGTAAAAAGAGATACCAATCTCGTATACAAGTTTACAATACAAGTTTACATGGGAAGGAAGGACACAGCAAAGTTGGGACTAATGTTCATTGTGTGTATATGATAACAAGGTTAGAAGAATAAAAATATGTGCATCCAAGTTTATAAGTGCTTTTAAGATAATTTTATCAAAAATTATTTTTTACTTTCAGAGAAACTTTTAAAAATATTTTTATTTAATAAAAAAAAAAAAAAAAAAAAAAAAAAAAAAAACAACTAAGAAGTATTTTGCCTGGAACTTGGCCATGATCATGCTAATATTTTCGTGCACTTTCGGGATATGGAGTTGCGAGTCCACGATGTTGTGCAAGTTGATCAATGGCATCTTGGAATCTTGGAATAGATATGGTAATAGATATGGTTGTTGGATAGGATTGGTCTGCCACAGGAGGAATCTTGGAATTGGATTTGGCTTATACATGTGCAAAAAAATGTTAAACTATTTATGTGGCTGATATCGCTTGATATTATCCCCTCAAAGCAATTTCCATTTGCACGTAATATTAGCTCAAATGTTTTCTACGGTAGTTGCAACTTGATGGAAGAAGATACTTTCACATTTTCTTTGAATGTCATGCTGCTAAGGAAGTGTGGAGAAGGTTTGATGTGAGCCTGTAGTGGAAAATCAGTCTTTTACGTCACCTCTTTATCGTTGGATATATCAAAAACCGACGTAAAAAAGATGTAGTGGCATTTTTGTAATTTTTGTGAACTTTTTTACGTTAGACATAAGGGAGTCCGACGTAAAAAGATTTATTAATCTTCCCGCGCACACTAGTATTTGAAAACAAGAAACATGTGAAACGGTGTGAGAGAAAGAAAAAGAAGAAGCAGAAACTCAACCGCTTAGGTCGGATTTATTTTCTGCCACTCTTCACTTTCCTTCTTCGATTTCGGTTTCGTCAGAAGTAACACACCAACACCAAAAATTTCTTGTTTTTTTACTTTGTTTTTAAAGTCTAAACTCATGCATGATATATTTATTTTTATGTTTATTTAGTTTCTTTCAATTTTGTGTTATGCTTTCAGCTATGATTATTTAGGATATGGAGCATCTACAGGTAAGGTATGTAATTCTTAAGTTTGTAAGTTTGTTTCGTGTAGAGGATTTTGATTTTGCATCTAGAACGACCCATTTTGCAAGCAGAACGACCTGTTCTCCAAGCAGAATGGCCCGTTCTCCAAGTAGAACAACCCGTTCTCCTAGCAGAATAGCCCGTTTTGCTTGCATTTGTCATGTTTTTTTTTTGTTTA